TATTTTGCAACAACAACGGGCACAAAAACATGAATGCACACACAACTTGTATTCATGGCATTGATTCAAAGTCTCACAAAGATGCAAATTCCATAAACAGAGATGAATAACCAAACCGGTTCCCAGGACTACAAATTCCATGAACAACGATGAATAACAAAACCGGTTTCCAGGTCTAACGCACAACCAAAAGTTCATAAATTACAGAGAGAAAAAAACTCATCCCAACATTTCTTTTTTACTTTTTAGTAGTCTTCTTTTTACCGGGAATTGCAACTGCCTTGCCCTTCAAAGTCCTGCAGTTATTCCTAGTCCTCTGCCCACGACAAGGCAATCCCTGAATGTGCCGAATTCCTCTGTAGCACTGTATATCCTTCAGCCTTTTGATTGCCATCGCATTAAATCTCCTCTAACAAAGATTTCACCCAAAAAAAAAAAAAATCAGTTATGATTAGTTAGATGCTTCTAAAACTCGGTTTAGACGACAGTGTCCAAATTGAAAACCAAGAAATACCCAAAAAACAGAAGCATACACTTGAATCCAAACGATAGTACTATATAAAAACAACCCCTAAAGGGTTTAGCCTAATAGCATATAAGTCCAGATGTGTTCTAAAGCTACAAAATACCCCTCAAATCTGTTGTAAGCAACGCATTGAAATATACTAATTAACCTCCAGCAAATGCACATTTGTTGTCAACTTCCAGCTGCAAACGAGAAGCAAATTCCAATGTTCCTTCCTTAACTTTGAAAAGATAACTGAGTATTTCCATGACGAGTGCCACGAGGAAGTTCTTTAATCTTTATAGATGTTTTTTTTTTGGTAAGTATTTATGTAAGAAACCTTGTGTAACAAAATACATCAGATGACAAAGACCATTGTTACTTCACAAGCCGAGTCTCATGCACACTTTGGTTAACTACTTAGCGATGTCACAAACGAGTAAGTACACACTTGCATAATCAACTTAAAACAACCCTAATTAACTTCATTTTTCTCAAGTACATTTCACCAAAATCAACGCCGAAACACACCACTTTTTTCAAACACATTCATGCAAATTCAACACAAAACACACACACACACACAGCCCAGATTAATCGGAAGAACAGGATTCAACTATTCAGCCACTAACGCTCTTTTATTCTTTCTTTCAAACACATTCATCAAAATTAACACCAAAACACACACACCCACACACACACAGAGAGACAGAGAGTCCACAAAAATCGCAAGAACCAGATTCAATTCTTTCGTCCATTAATGGCGTGCCCAAGCGGTAATAGGAATTCACACAAAGTACTTACGAAATCTCCCTCAATCATGTACTTGGAAAGCTCCCCACGCAGAATAGTGAGCTCCTCCTCGGATAAATCCTTGGTGAGCTTGTTATCGAAGTTCAAATCGTTCAGTATCTGCCTCGACCTAGTCCGCAAAGAGTGATTGTATTTATAGTGGTGTAAGGAGGGGCATATAACTATGTTGGACCTGTTTGGATATACCCATATTTACAAGCTCCTTGAAAGTTCGGCTAGTATGTTTATAAAATGCCTCCTTGTCGAGATAAATTCAAACTAACATTATGTAATGTCTGACAAATTTAACAGAGTAGTAATTTGCAATATAATGCAAAATTTCTTTTGACGCCATATTTCACCAATAGATTGGAAACCAGACACCCACCGTACTTATGTTAACATCACAGTTAATGCCTGGTAAACAAAGGAAAACACATTTTTTCATAAC